GACGGTATGCCACCCACAAGTTGGGAATATACATTATTATTATTATTATTATTATTATTATTATTATTATTAAATATTGCACACTTCATGACACTGTCCTCTTTTTTGCGTAATATTCCGTATCCGCAAACCCCCGCTTTGTTCTGAGTGTGAACGTAAGATCATGACTGCCGATGTACCACCCACAAGTTGAGAACAAACAACATTATCATTATTATAAAACTGGTGGTGACTATCGTCTTGCTGCTACGGGCCATCACTAGCGTGCCATGCAAGGTTAATGGAACGCATTCTTACGTGAACCATTTTTCTTCCAAAAGGTCGATTTCTCTAGCTCAACACCGGTTTCTCTCAACCCCCTCTTGCGTGATGAAAACGCTCGCATTTATGAACGGCTTAAATCTAGCCAAAGGCGAGGGACTCATATCAGCTGCCAGTTTTTTTTTAACTTCTCAAAAGCATTTGATCGGGTCCCACAAAATCCCGCTGCTCCACAACTCGAGTCTTACGGAATTGAAGTGGAAATTTCGCGTTGCATTAGGGTGCCTCTATCAGATAGAACTTTTTGAGTGAAAATAGACTCAACCTAATCTTCTCCGGCGCCGTTCCCCATTGAAATTCCCCAAGGCTGTTTTGGGACCCATTTGCTTCTGACCTACGTCAGAGACCCTTCAGACGTCCTTGCAAGTACACATCTGCCTTTTGCTGACGACTTGAAATCCCGGGGTTCAAACACCATTGCCCTCTAAATGAATTTAGATGCTGGAAAGCAATGGCGGTTGGAGTGGCACCTTCATCTGAATAATGAAAAGTGCGTTTACATGTCATTCGTGGGACAATCAGCAAGCATTTTTGTCATGCATGGTGAGAATGGAGGAGAAGGCATCAAGAAGATAGATATCAAGAAGGTATTCAGGTATCTGACTCTCTTCAAACATGACCTCACCGCACTACGGAAAATCTGCTAAAAGACATTCGCTGTTCTGTGTATAAATGGGCGTTACTTACTAAGCACCACTCTTTTCGACTTCTGGATGCATTTTAGGGCCCACATCAGACCATTTATGGAATATGCCAACCATGTTGTTCACTCAAAATGCAAGGAGGGCGCAGCATCTCGTCGAGCTACGAAAATGGTTCCCGGTCGTAAATCAGTAGACTATGAAACGGTGCGTGACCTCCTTCCTGCAGAGTATCGTCGATTCTGGGGCGATCTAACACATACTTATGCCATATTTGAACAAGCTTTGGACAACAAATTACTCACCGTCGAAGCAACAAACGCATGGAGGAAGGGAGAGATAACTTGTAAGCTCAGATCGCCCACCCATTTTAGGTAGCAAGTATTCTCGTTTCCGTTAATCGCTCACTCCGCATGTGGTACATTAAGACACTTCTTGAAGCTTACACGCTGGCATGATTACTACTCCACGCTAAAAACTGAAGAGCAATGTTACGTTTCTTTCTCGCCTGTGCCTTTCAGTTGAATGGAAACTACTGGAGGAATGGAACAGATCCGACTCAGGAAGGTTGTGCTTATATCTCGATCCTGCGTGTGAATCTCATCTTGTATAATAACTTTTTGTCATCACCCCAATCACGGTAGACAGCAAGTTTTTGTTTCGATGTGTATTATTGCACACAGTCCCATCTGATGTCTCGTCAAACTCAATGTGCTCTACCAATCTCATCTCATTTTCATCCCGTTCCCTCACGTCTCGGGGCTGTCAAATTCCGCGATATCAGGTATGGACGACCTGGATGGCTGTTATCCACTCAACCCACCCTATGATCTACATCCACAAGGATCCCCAACCGGATCCAAAAAGAATGCCTTGCGATCTTAAATCAGTTTTCTTATACCTCCACGAAGTTCCCTAGTCAACCTGGGGAGGTCCCGCTGCTCAGAGCACCGCACATTCCATTCCAGTGACCCCGAATGTGACGTAGCTGTCTGATACCAGAAGTATGTCAGGCCAATGATTGCACGGCGCGCCCTACCCAGTTTGTTAGCATGCCCGCAACTATTCCCTTCCTACTCTCGACCGCAGCACCTCGCCTACTCGTTACATGAACTACAAATACGAACAAGCTCTCCACCTAACTCCAGCTGCCTCCATTCCAATTTGCTGAACCTTTTGTTCGAATTCAACCGTTTCGGTGTCCGTTCTTCCCGCAAAATTCAATATAGTTCGCGTTCCGGCCCATGGTTGTCACCATTTAACCCTTCCAAAGAACTATCATCCCCGACCACTAACCAATGACTCTCTGCAGCTTCAGCGTACACCATGATTCCAAGATTCCTGTTACCATTTATCCGCCTTGCTAATCCCTACAATTGATCATCCCCACTTACGTCTTTTGTGGCCCTGGCCATTAGCCAAACAGTCCAAAGACGTTAGACCTCAGCGTTGGTTTTAGGTTTTATTTCAACTTGACCTGCTGGATGACACTAACTCTGCTGCCTGAACAGATTTGATATTCTAGTTCACTGTTTTCTGTAGTTATCACTTTCCTTGCCATATGTTGGGCAGAAAGCTTGCTTTTCCCTCTCTCGCTTTGTTCTTTGGCCCGCCACCCTCGAATCCTTGCTCGATATTCTCTCCAAAAACGCATGGTAAATGAGCTTCCCTATCCGTTTCCTTAGTGGTGACCACTCCTACATCGGATTACATCCACCGCCAGTGACGCCGCCCCTTTTCCCAGACCCATGTTCCCGCAATCCCCCAGTACTGCTTTTATTCTGACCGTAATCTTATGATCATGCCTGACGGCATGCCACCTACGGGTTGGGAATAGACATTATCACTATCATTAGTAATCAATCTCCCTTCCTAATATTTAGCGCGCATTTCGGCTTTAAAGTTGAATTGCTAAGATCCCAAATATGAACTCGGATGAGTTTATTGAGAAATTGGCCACTGTTCGGCCTTCATCTCTCACCGCATGTTAGAAAGCGTTAGGTGAATACCTGAAGAATGACTATACATTATTCGTGTGCGCAGCATATAATCGAATAACGAATTTTTTGTTTTGCATATTGACTGGGTATACTACCAGTGCAGCAGGCGAATCGTAAAACGAACTTGAACTAAAAGTGAGGCATAACACAGTGGCTTTTTGTCTGAGCATACATAAAACAAAGTTCATTGACACAACGACATAAGCAGGATGGGGATTTGTTTCCAGGACAGTTTCGTGAGAATGAAGCTTGTATACAATTATCGGAATGGTTCACCGAGTTTTCGCAGAAACAACCTTTCGGAACAACGGTGTTCAACGGCCTGTACCACTCAAATCGCGAGTCAAAAGATGTGACAGCAAGTGGGATCAAATGTGATCAGTGATTGAATCTGCGTCTGCATTAGTTAAGGAAAAAGGAATGCATTTTTTGAGACATTCAGCAAATCCAATTTTGTAGTTGTATGAACAATTTCTTGAATGGATTGGATTCGCGGTCTACCATTCCCCTGGAGTAGCGTCGCCTCCGAGGGACCTAATTCTTACTTATGCCCCGTTTGAACAAGGCTTGGCAAACAGATTTTTTACCGTTGACCCAGCAAACACACGGTGGGGACATAGTAAGAAAATTTTCAAGCTCAGAGCACACACATTCATTGAACAAAATGTTTTCTCATTTCGGATAGTAGGTGCGTGGAATGACCTTCCTCCCACGGCTGTTTATGCTCCCTCTAGAACCCAGTTTAAGGCACTATTAGACACTTATTTATGCGAATCCTCGCGCTGGCAAGCATACTGTCCCGCGCTGAGAACATAAAGAGCAGTGCTACACCTTTTTTCGCTCGTGCCTTTCAGGTGACCGACAGCCACTGACCGACAAGAACAAAAGCGACCCGGGAGACTTGGGCAAAAGCCTCGATCCTGTGTATCAATCCGTGAATCCATGAATGCGTGAGCAGCGGTCATGTATCAGATCAGTTCTCAGCTTTTAACATCGGATTCTCAACAGGTCCTCCAAAGTGCATAAGGTTTTTTGAACGCCCGAAATACATCCAAAATTCATGTACCAGATGCCCTTGGAAAGTCGGAAGCCTAGATGCAGAAGTTTCAACTGCAATTTGACTAGCTGTAGGGTCGCGCTCTCGACTAATTACAGTTCACCTTGATGTCGGACGAGCGACCGACCAATCATCTACGAATTAGGCCTATCGGCGATTGCTGTACCCAAATGCGAGCGATGGTATGGTCTTTGCGTGGTATTAGCGTGTCAGTCGCTTAGATTCCGAGCATCCTTCGACAGCTGGACTGAATGACAACAGGTAGCGAGAAGTGTTGCTAAAAGTGCTCCACCCGGCGATCTAACAGGCATTTTCCATTGAGGTTGCTCGTGTTTGCTTGAGCCTTGACGGCTTCCCTTACCAAAACATCATTCATCATTAGCACTCTTGCGGTGCCTAACAGCCATACCACCCGAAGGAAACATGAGAGTTGGGATACAGCCATGGTCGAAGTCGAGATGTAGATCACAAAATTAGATAGGATTTGAGATTGGATAGACCTTACGGATACGAATATCCCGATTACCACAACTTTTCGACTCTTCATTCTTGTGACTTATGAAAGGCTCCGTAGGATTTTAATAATAAATAGAACCTTAATTTGGTTTATATGCACCGCTTTGTGTACGGGAGATTTTGAGCAACTCTCCGTAAACTGTCATGCCCGAAAGTGTGACAACTTTGAATGTTCACAAACTTCCGGTGCATTCCGATATGGGCAGGCGTGTTAAGAACAGAATCCAAGAATCTCGAAACTGTGTTTTGCTTGCACGTAAGACGTTCTAGTGTGAAGATTTAGTCAACGCAACTTCTACAAGGCCGGAATACCGCTTGCTGCCCTCAAGTCTGTTTCACGGGCCAGCATGAAACGACGAAGCACCAGTGACGCCAACCGTCTCGTTACGACCGGGGGTAAGCTTAGCCACCTTGTAGTTACCACACTCACTTCGAGCTCTTTTTGGAAATAGGAACTATCATCGGCTCTCCCCAGTTGTCTGGGACAGACTCCTTTTCCCAAATGCAAGCAAACAGGTCAGACAAGCGTTGCTTGAGAGCTTCACCTTCATATTTGAACGATGTCAGTGGGAGTTCATACGGACCAAAAGCTCTGTGGCGCTTGGGAGAATATATGTTATCATAAACCACCGACGCCGTAGGGTCTCCACGGTCACCATCCAAGGTTCTACGTCAACCAGGATCCAGACGAGTGGCAGCTGGTGGTCACGATACCCGTTGTTCGAAATATTCGGCCGAACGGTCACTCTATTCTGATCTTTGATAGATTCGCTCACAGATTGCTTCTGGGGCCCGATATCATTCCCCCCAGGTCTTCCTGGGCTTCCTGGCTTTCCGGGCTTCTTCCATTTTCCTGGCTGTCGGTGACAATCCGACTTCACGGACGACTCGCCCGTTTACTTTCACTTGTCCTCTGATAATTTTTTCGGGTCAAGTTATTCTCGGGGCCGGTTAGGATAAGCACTACAAATGTTTCTTCCGATATCCAGTGACTGAGCCGGCAAGTAGTGCCGTGGCAAAGGCAAAACTCCAAGCACTGTGCAAAGAGGTGGTGGTCTCGTCCCAGTATGAGTTCACATCTAACGGTGGAATAATTGGGAGGGACTTCATAAGATAATTCTGGTAACTTCGTCCAGCATCCTAATTTGTCAGTCTCTCACTTGCTGAGCGATCTTTCCACACTTTACGCAGCCCTGGGAAAGGAAGGGAGAGGCGACTCCTTACGAGCGTGTTGTCGGAATCCACAAATGTGCTCTTAAATGAGCAGCAGTCAGTTATAGATCCGCACCATCAGTAACGTGGAAATGTATCCGGCATGTCGTTGGAAAACACCATGTGATCACAACGATATCTGAGCTTTTAGCTTCCTGCAAGTGGGCATTCAGGGTGTCATAAACTTTTCTTTCATGGTGTCGGA